TAGAACCCCTTCCGCCTTGAGCTTCCGTAGCATCCTCCGGATATGCTGCCATGGCGGGTTCATCCACCCGTTGATCATAGACCAATCATGTGCAAAGGCTCCCCCTTTAGCATCGTCGGTCCAGAATCGTGAGCATCGGTAGGTGACGCAAACACATCAACATCATTCGGTCCGAATATTCGTTGCACCTGCTCGAAGTAACTCGGGAATAGCTTTCAACACTCCACGTACATGATCTCTGGCACCACCATTTCTGTCGTCCCTTCGTGAACTCTGCTCAGCATATCCGGGAGTATATTCTTTTCCCCCGGAATGTGGGAAATGGTAAAGTTGAAGGGCGCTAACACATGATGCCATCTCTGCAACATCGGATTCAGCTTAAGCTGGAAGTTCATATTTACTAATGCTTTGTGGTCTATGAATACCGCATTCATATACTAACGCCAATAGCTCCTTCATCGGTGTGGCATAATTCTGTTGCGCATGATTCAGGGTTTTACTGAAGAACATCAGGTAGTGTTTCTTTGAGTTCACCCATTGAAATAGTGCTCCCCCCAAACCGTTGGTCACTGGCATCGGTTTCCAAATTCAACGGAACGTCCTCCACCGGAAAGTTCAGAGCTACTGGATTCAGGATCGCGTCTTTCATAGCCTCCCAGGCTGCCGCGTGTCTGTCTTCCCAGCGGTCCCCGATTGGCTCGTTGGGTTTCAATTAACAGAATTCCCATGATGGTGCCACAATATGAGCAAAGTTTGGTGAATTTTCGTGGAGAAAGTTCGCGAGACCTAGAGCCGACGCAATATCCTTGTAACGTTGCGGTATCGGTCAATCCAACAGCTTAGCTTGCTTTTCATGGTCGATGTCGATTCCTTGGGCCGAGACTTTCTTCCCGAGGATCATAATATCTGCTATCGCAAAATGGCACTTCGCTACATTGAGCTTGAAACTATGGTAAGTCAGCCGCCGGATCACCTTTTTCGTAATCCGTATGTGTTCGTCTAAGTCATCCCCTGCTATTACAATATCGTCTATGTAAAGATGGACCGGCAGCCCATCCAGAATCGTGCTGAGAGTTCTTTGAAACTGTTGGGTCAGCACATGTAGTCCAAACGGCGCTGAGGTAAACGAGTATTGATAGTTATCATGCGTAAAGCTAAACAAATACTGCGAATCGGGATGAATGGGGAGTCGGTGGTAAGCAGCCGATATGTCTAACGTCGTGTAGTACCTCCGGCTCTTGAGGCGAGATATTATTTCATTGGCTTTGGGTATCAGAAATTGGTCGTCCGGGATCAACGCATTCACAGCGCGCATATCCATACACACTCGTACCTTATTCACTTGCCCCTCGCTGTCAAAAGTGGGTACGGCCTATAACGACAGGTTCACCGTTGTCGGCGTCGTTCGTTTGACAATCACCGTGTCATGGAGCCACTTCTGCACCTGCTCCTCGACAAATGGGAGCCATCTGTCCGACACGAAGTTCCGGATAGATCGTCGCATACTCATCGCTTGGTCCATCGTGACCCGAATAGCCACCTCGCTGCCTGCAAGGCGACAACGGGCGCTGTCCGCAATTTCAGCGTTAGCATCGAGCTCCGACCGTAGGCGGTCCCGTACCCCGGTAGACTCCCTAGTATTCGGTGCCTGGCGACGTGTGGTCGGAATACTATAGTACGTAGTTTATTTGATTATTTTAGGTCTATTATAAGTTTTACAGTTTATCAGAATAATCTGATAAACTGGGTTTTAGGGTTTTGCTGTTTTTACAGCACATGACTGATGACTCATTTTGAGAGTCATTAATCTTAGGATTACTGTTTACAATTATTAATAAATGAACAACGTCCCCCTCCCTGAGAAGGGAGAACGTTGAGATATAAGCTACTCGACGTGTACTTACTACAGACGTGCGAGTGGTGTCAATAGCTCGTCGATCTCTGTCGGATCGATTGGTACCAGAGGTGATTGTATTCCTCCCAAGTATAAACCCAATCCGAGTATAATGTCAAGACCCAGTATCATATCAATACCCTCCGGTAAGTTCATCAGTTCTATGGAACCCTGAGTAATTTCGAATTGGTAAGACCTCCGTTGTGCCTGGGCGTGGAGTACGCACCGCCTTATATGCCGAATATATATACGATCCCGATGGTGCTGAGGTGACGGGACGGTTAAGGAGATCTGCGGATGTCGTCGAGATGCAACTTCTGTTCGCTCCAGCATCGACTAATGCCCTGAACGTACGTCCGTTCAACTGTAACGGGAAATAGACCCTATTTTCGGTGCTGATCAAAGGGTCGCGGATAGCTAATACCCCTTTCGTCGAGTCTCTAAACGTCAAAGTCAAATTTTCATCCGACACCCTGATATCCTATAGTTGTGATTCCGTCGGTTACCAATAGTCCCTGTTCTGCTGTGAGGTTACCGGCTCTAGTGTCTCATACTCACTAGTAAGAATTGAATTGGTGTGGATCTCCGTAGCATTCGGTGACGTTGTCACACCTCCTTCTTCCGACACCATATTAATCTGCGCCCCCCCCCCCGACGCCGTGTTGGTTGATCTAGTTGTCTGTGCTGCCCCCGATGGCTGCAGTCCGTTTCCTCCTCTATGGATCGTCTGTACCTCTCGTGGTGCTCTCATCTGATCGCCTGGGCGCACCCGATTGCCCGTTGTATCGGAGTGGGTATGATTATTCCTATAGTTGTGATTCCGT